TGACTTAGAATGTGATTGAACCACCAACTTTCTCAAGACTTTGACACCCAACTCTCTCGGCTTGTCAATATGTGACTACATCTCCAAGATGTGACCACACATGGAACTTCACTTGCCAATAGGGCTTGAGTGACCTTAAACTTTTCAGGAACTTGTGGGTTAGGGAGAATAATTGGAGGAGGTGAAAGAAGTATGATTTCCATAGTACATCATCTTCATTTAGGAAAAAGCTTGTTTCAAGAGATTTTGGAAGATCATAAATGTCTAAACCAGACATCTTTTTGGGAGATGTTCAAGATAGTTGATTAAAAGTCCTTAATATAACACCCAATATGAAATATTAAGGCTATGACCCAACACAATACTTTTATAACTTGGAAGAGGGATGTCGTAATCGAAGCTATAAAATATTTGAAGGTAGGTGAATGACGATTCACCAATTTCCACCATGAAAACGAAATAATTTAATTAGGTTTTACTTGGATTTGAAACTCCTAGATCTTTTGAGATTCATTGAATTGTTCAATGGCATGTTTCAATCTCGAGTGTGCCCTTCAAGTTTTGTGACTGGGATGACGAGGATCACAAAACTGGGATGACGAGGATCACAAAACAAGGTGTGAAGTAACCATGCAAATATACTGGGTACCCTTAATATTTACCCCTTAATCGATGTGACGGTTAACCACACACGCTCCACCGATACTATGATAAATATTAAGTTACCCTTTGCCTACCTTGTTAAGTCCAGGTTAGTGTGCCGGTTAACCACACATGCTCCACTAACAACATAAACAAAGTGCAAAGTGTAATTTCATGGATTAGCACCTTATTCACTTTTTCTTAAGTAACTAAGATTGGGTATTTTTAAAAGGTTTAGTTACTTCCTATTTATCATTAATACTTTTAGTGAAGGGAGAATTCTAGTCCTTGTCCTACTCGTTCGGCTAAGAACCCTCCACCAGTTAAGGAAGCGGTGGGTGAGAGTGGACACCCATTAAACTGCCATTTTATAGGTAGTAACCTTATACCCCCCTTATAGATCGGCTTCGTGAATGATGCCTACTAACGGTAAGACAGACTTTACTCTTATACATATATATATATATATATATATATATATATATATATATATATATATATATATATATATAAATATTATTAACTTATAATATTATAAAGTATAAGGGTTGAATTTTAACTTTTAAAATTCTAAGGGCTAACTTGGAATCATAGTATTCATAAGTGAAAAGTTTTCAAATTCCAAAACTTGAGGGAAAGTTTTGAAACTATTTAAAACTAATTAATTCCATAACTTATGAGTTTAAAGTAGTTTTAATTAAAAGACTCTTCAAGTTCCATAACTTGAGGACAAATTATGGAAGACTTTAAACTAATAAAAAAATGTACCTTTTCTTTATTTTGTAACTTATGGAATTAATTAAGGTTACACGTTTTATTACTTAATGAAGTGACTCTTGAACCTCCATAACTTGAGGACAAGACTCTTAATTTTTTGTAACATTTGCCAACTTTTATGAGTTTTATGAAACTTAAATGTGACTTTTCATATAACTTGAGGAAAAGTTACAAAGACACATTTTAGAATCAACTCTTAGATTAAAATGGATTGAAAACACATAATCAATTAGTTTTTCTATTAATCTAAGCAACTCATAAGAATAAGATAATTCAAATCAAACTTTTTCATGTAATTAGTCTAAACCTTAAACCAATACGAAACATGAATCTATTGACAATTATATTTAAAATTGGATTAGCATGAACCTTACCACATCAAAAACAAGTTTATAAGTCCAAAACCATCTTAGAGTAATGTTCCTAGTCCAATTCCAACAAAAAAAATCGAATATATGCTGTCTGGGGGTCCAACTTGTCGAGTGCACGAACAAACTCGGCGAGTTGGATGCATTTTGCCTTGAACTCGTCGAGTCCCTTCATGGACTCGACGATTCTGCTGTGCAGACAACTCCAAACTTTGATTTTTCAGCCAATTTTGCAAGTATAACAAGAAAACAAGCTTAGGCTCTGATACCACTGTCGGGTTATGAGCATTCTAACACTCCTAAGTGTACATGTAACCCTAAATACCTTGGATATATGTTTTCTCTATTATACATGCAAACATGATCTTTCCAAGGTATTCATCCTAACTAGCATAATAACATTGATTCAAATGAATATTTCAAGTTAGAATTACATACCTCTTTGATGTAGATTGTCTTCATGAAGCTTGAGTGCCTAGTGCCCCAAGTGTGACATCTCAAATGGTTCACACAACACCAAATACACATGGAATGACTTGAGAGAAATTCACACTTCATGAAAATCGGCTAGCCCTTTTCACACACATACATATTGGCCGATTTTCCCTAGAACATGATCTTTATATAGTGTCACAATTAGGGTAAACCGTAATTGTCATGGCTTTCCATATCCTTGGATCCATGGGTTGAAAATACACCATGGAGAATCCATGTAGCATCCTATGGGTTTTAGCCTAACTTGATAGTCCATGGAGACTTAGCCCACTATATAAGTATGGATGATTTACACAATCAACCCATATATTTAATTAGTCTTCTTTTGATCACTTAATTAATCCTAGATTAATTCTTGGTCAATACTAATTAAATAATCTTATTAATATATTAGAGCTTATAATATATTAACAAACCTTAAGTGTTATTTCTCTCATTATAGTCTATCCAAATGCATGATGCCATGCAACCCAAATGGACCATGCCAGGTCGGGTCAAGTCTCACCAATTATAGTTATGGACTTAGACATTAATCCAACAATAACCCATAAGCCTTAATTATAAGGATAACCTATAAATCATGTGTGTTTGTGTCGACACGTATTTCAAATTCATGTCGTGTGCCTTACACGAGTAAGACATGAATTTACCCATCTAAACACATATGACACAAGTATAATTTTCACGGCACACCACTTGTATATGACACATATAAACACAATAATATTTTAAAAAATGTAAATTTTAATCCAAAATTCAAAATTAGTAAATCGAAATTTAAAGATTATAAATATATATATATATATATATATATATATATATATATATATATATATATATATATATATATCTTTACTACTTATAAAAGAAATCTAACTATTTCTATAAATAGATTGAATATAATAATATTATTTTTTTAAGACGTACAAACGATTAAGCTAATATTACAAACAACCATTAATAAAATAATATTAAATTTTAAATTTGTTTTGATTCCTTATATTTCTCAGCAAAATCCTAATTTCATGGTCATTCAAAATTTAAAACCTTTTCATCCTAATACGCTTCAACAAATATCCTTTAAATGTTGCATTTGCAGCTGATTAAAATATCTCATAGCAGACGTTTGTTTGTTCTCTCCACCTTATAAACCCTGCTATAAATCCCACTGCCATGAAGTATTTCCCTTATAAACCCTAATCGTTTTTCTCCCTCTCTTAGACGAAGACAATGTGTTTTTTTTAAGAAAAAAAGTTTGAAAATATTCCAATTTCTCAAAAAAATTTACCCCAAATGCGAAACTGGGTAAAATTTTCCATTTTGCGAAGACTACAGGGATGCGAAATGAAAATTCTGCACTTTTGTCTTTTTATGACCCCATTTTGCGAAGTTGGACCACTTATATTATTTCTTGAAAAGATCAGGTGCCAAATGCGAAACTCTAAGCTTTCTTCCCCAATTCGCATTTATACATTAAAAACTTCGCATTTTCATTCAAATTCTTCGCATCTTGCATCCATCCGTCTTTGAGTTCATTCGCATTTCATCGCATTAACTGAGAAATTAATCAGTTGTCTCATATTCGCATTTCAGTTGTTTGAGAAACCCAGATACGAACCCAAATGCGAAACCCACTGATTTCAAATGCGAACCAACCAAAAATCATCAACCACGTACTTGTGTCACCAAATGCGAACTGAATATCACCATTAAATTCTCCTCGCATTCCATAGATGCGAACACAATCCAGATCTCCGACTCCAAGCTTGCGAAATCAAAATCAATTAACCTCAAACAAATCGTGAACTTCTTATGCGAACTGTTTTGACCCACAAAGCCAAATGCGAACTCAATTGATGTCATATGCGAACTGATTTCATAGATGCGAACACAATTGATTTCATATGCGAATCCACATCCATCGATATGAAACCAATACCAGTTACAAGCAATTAGTAGCAACAACCATCGATCCTCTAATTTTCAATTACTCAGCCTTCGCTTTTCATACAACCCGTCGACCCTGAAAAATCGATAAACACCAAATGTCTCATTTTTAGATCGATTTTCTGATTAAATGTCATATTTGAAGAATGATCGATTTTCTGATTAAATGACCCCATTTTGCGAAGTTGGACCACTTATATTATTTCTTGAAAAGATCAGGTGCCAAATGCGAAACTCTAAGCTTTCTTCCCCAATTCGCATTTATACATTAAAAACTTCGCATTTTCATTCAAATTCTTCGCATCTTGCATCCATCCGTCTTTGAGTTCATTCGCATTTCATCGCATTAACTGAGAAATTAATCAATTGTCTCATATTCGCATTTCAGTTGTTTGAGAAACCTAGATACGAAGCCAAATGCGAAACCCACTAATTTCAAATGCGAACCAACCAAAAATCATCAACCACGTACTTGTGTCACCAAATGCGAACTGAATATCACCATTAAATTCTCCTCGCATTCTATAGATGCGAACACAATCCAGATCTCCGACTCCAAGCTTGCGAAATCAAAATCAATTAACCTCAAACAAATCGTGAACTTCTTATGCGAACTGTTTTGACCCACAAAACCAAATGCGAACTCAATTGATGTCATATGCGAACTGATTTCATAGATGCGAACACAATTGATTTCATATGCGAATCCACATCCATCGATATGAAACCAATATCAGTTACAAGCAATTAGTAGCAACCATCGATCCTCTAATGAGGAAACAGTTTCCTATTCGATTGTGCTTTGCAATGACAATCAATAAAGCTCAGAGACAAACAATTCCATATGTAGGTATCTATCTTCCAGAACCAGTATTCTCGCATGGACAACTTTATGTTGCATTGTCCAGAGGGGTTTCACGTTGCAATACAAAAGTATTAGTAAAGCCTAACGAAAATTCAAAAGGTGATGGGGTTTATACAGCAAATGTGGTGTATAAAGAAGTATTGCACGATTAATATTTTGTGTCGTCTTGACTGGTTGCTTTTTATTGGTTATTTGATGCATGATGTAACAAATAACACCATAGTTTGATTATATTGTCTTCAACATGTACTTTTTTTTAACATAACAATTTTGTAATGGAAACATATCACCGAAAGAACTCACGTGCCCCGCCGCTTTGCGCGGGTAGATGGCTAGTATATATATATATATATCCCCTCCCTTTGATTTTCGTTTTCCCCAAAATATTTTTTCCCAAACCAAAAAAATTCAAAGACCTGCTATTTACAATTGTGGTTCGTTTCTTCCACCTCCAAATTAACCCGCCATCAGGAGTTCCCTCTTGATCTCTCCCAAATAATTCATGACCCCTCTTTCTCCTTCATCTCTTTCTTCATCGATCTACTCCACCACATTGTCTTTGGTCTGCCAATCAACACGATTGCCAGTACTCAGTCTCTCTATCTCTCTACTCCATCGCTATTGTCTCTCGCCACCATCACTTTATCTAATTCGCTACTATTATATCTTGCTAGTGCACAACCCACCACCAGTGATTGGTTTCGTCACCACCATCAACTATCCCCTCCGACGAAGGCATCCAAAGGTCGACGCTCCTGTCCAACTATAACACTATCCACCATCAACGCCTCCATCGTCGTTTGGTCGCTCCATCTTGCCTGTGTGTTCTTCTACATCAAGTAAGTGAAATTGTTGTTTAAGTTATTCTGAAGATGATGCTTGGTACACAAATCAACGCCTCTACCTTCATGTATGTGTGTTCGTCAACAGTTTGATTCCAACGTCGTGTCTGTGTTTATTCATCTACATTCATTTTGTTTTTAAGGTTCAATTTAGCAAAGGGTTGGTGTTGTTGTTTACTCACATTACAATAAAAGATGAATCCTAGACAAAAGGTTAAATCAAGGCTGTTGATCAAGAAAAGTGAAAATTATTTGCTGGGAAGAGATGTGACTATGGAATTGAAGAATGTCTTGATGATAAGAGGAACCCTTCATTCGGTTGATCAGTATCTCAATATAAATAAAAATTCCCTTACATGGTATGATTCTCAATTTTTCATTATTTTTGTGTTTTTCGTTTTAGGTTGAGTCTTACATTGATCTTAGTATGTTATGTAGAATTTGATCTTTATTTTCTCCTTGTAGTGCCTAGTGGTCAAACGCTCATAGATGATTTTATATTTTGATTGAATAAGATCTGTAATAAACCTCATATCAACTTCTTTGAGTTCGAATTAAGCACCTCAAGATCCATTATATATAGTAAACATAAATTCCATACTCCTGCTAGTAAGATCCATTATATAACCAAATGGTACAAAGTTTCCCTTTGAGATTGGTTTTGTCATTTTGACCATTTAAGTTAAATTTTGACATGTTATTTTCATCAGGTTAATCAAAATAGTAAAAAATTTTGTCATTTGAAACATTTCTTTACAGGTAAGAAGTTTCACAATTCGACCGTTTTGGTCATTTTGACCCTTGAGGTCCATACTTGGAATGCTAGTCAAGATGACCATTGTGGTCATTTTGCTTGGTTTGATTAGGTAAGCAGAAAAAGAAAAATCTCAGTTGCCATTTACCATTCAAGGTTTTTCTCATTTCTCATTTTATGTCTTAAATTACTAATTTGCCCTTGGCCTTATCCAGGTTTTCACATCCTTAACAATCTCCTTCCACGCCCTTTAGTCTCTCAAAGTTCATGCATTAAAACTTATAATTTGCATTTTTTGTTTAAAGCTTGAAAGCCCAAAGTTAGTTGACTAAAGGAGAAAAAAAGTTTCTTGGAAGTTTGCTTGGAAGTGTAGGCTAGTAGCTTCCGGTTCTCCTTCGGAAAAATGGTCCATTGGTTGATGTCAAATAATTAGAATTAGAATTTCTTTGTTTCATTGGTGTTTTGGCCCAAAACGAACAATAATATCCTTATTTCTAAACTATTTTTTTAACAAAATGGTGGATTATTGATGGAGAGTTCTAATTATGAGATTGTACTTCATTTTTCTCTCCTTGTAATTGTTTTGTTACATGTTCTTGTGGCATTTTAATTTGATATAATTTCTTTCCCACTTAAATTCTATGAATTTGTATTATTTTATTTCATCTAGATCGATTAAACCATTGCTATATTTATTTTGACCATCTTACAAAGATGTCTAGAGTTTAACTATTAAACATTGAGTATTAGTGCCAAAAAGGTACTTATGGTCACTTTTTTTTTCCTCTTCTTTTATCATAACAAATATGGTATTTTCATTTTTTGGAGTTTTGACGTGAAAGTTGGTAAAGACACTAGTCACAATGTATGTCCCCTTCTAGAGGGTAAGTGTGACAACCCGATATTTCAACTCTTTGTAACGACCAAAGTGGGTCAAGTATTGTAACCGCTTCTGAGTAATAAAATTTACTTTCATAATAAAATGTACAAATAAGTCCTATTTAATTTCCTTCTATGATTAAATGTCTTTGAACCATGATCGTACGTGAAAAGAACGCCCAAATCCGACTTCATTTAGCGAAATTATGATTTTTCCAAATTCGACTCAGCAACAGACAGCTAAAAACTCGAATCGGAAATCGAGTGACTTTTGACCGGAATGACCTAAACGAGAATCGAAGGTCTCGACAATGGTATTCTAGCGATAAAAAGTCTGGCAAAAACCGACATCAGATAAAGAAGTTACGAATTTTCAAAGAAATTCCTTAAACACGATAGATTTTATATTTAATAAAAAAATAATTTTGGAATTTTCCGACGGAGTCTAAACGAAAGTTGAAGAGCGTAGTCTCACCTACGCGAGGATATAAAGACCATCGAAAACGGAGTTCGTATGAAGAAGATATGAATTTTTGAAGTTTATTAAATAAATTAATTATTTATTTTATTCAAAATTCGGATATTATCCGAAGGGGAGTCAGCATACGCGTTACGCGCCGCGTACTCCTGTACGCCCCGCGTACCCCAGAAAGCTCGGTCTCAAATCGTCCACGTCGCACGATCCGGAGAACCCGACCTGACGTCCCATCCGACCCGCGTGCTAGCGATCCGTCCCATCCGATCCGCGAACCCAGGAACCCGTCCCATCCGAGGCCGAGGCGGTCGTGGCTCGGTCATGCGTGACGCACGCGTACGCGCTGCGTACGCCCCGCGTACCGAGGCAGACCAGCCTCCCTATAAATAGCATGCGAGGGTTTCCAAAGAAGGGGCTCATTTCTCTTCTCTCTCACTCTACCTTGCCTCGTTTTCCGTTCCCGTTCAAACCCGAAGCTCTGGTCTTTTTGGCTCAAGTCCCGAAGGTCGATTTTACTCCCGAGATTCCCGAGAATCCCGAGGAAAATCCGTTTCCCGAGACGAAACTCTGCCCGGTTTTCCATCTCGCTATCTACAAAACTTTCAAGTGAGTTTCATACCCCTTAATCAACCGTTTTAATTATTCTAAATACTTTTATATGCTTTCAAAGGGGGGGGATTACAAGTATAACACACGAGTATTATCGTGTGTTACATACAGAAACTCTTTTATATACTGTTAAATATTCAAATCACATGCGATTTATAAACCTTTAAAGGAACTTTTAATTATATAAATATATATCATATGTTACAATAGCATTCAATCTTTTAAAGTATAAAGTTGTTGTAATGCAGGTATAAAACTAAACTGTTCTTAAATTATTCTTTTCTATCGTATAATCGACACCAAAAATCTATGCTTTCATAAACAAATGATTCTTTTCCTACGTATTTCTAAAAACAAACAAGGCACACTTTGTAAAACTATAATAGGTATAGTTTTACGAACAGATTTCTAACTCTTATGTACTAGAAACATATATTTCAAGAAGTTTACTTTCGTATACAAGAACAAACGTAACATTTTAATCAGTAGATCTGTTTTTATACCACGGGTTTGTGAGACACTAACTTCATGTACGTTCGAGTACACATTTCAAGTCCTATTTTATATACCAGAATCCCTTGGAGGGGGAGCATGGTGTTTGTGTATAGATCTATACGGGCTTGACAACCCGCGCCCTGACTGTTAGCTACAGTCCACCGTTTGGGGTGACAAACGTCATAACATTCCAACGCCTGAAGAACGTTGTGTATAGGCATTTCGAGTCAATAGTATGGTTATAAAACTCACAAGGGGTATTAAAAACGCATTGATTTACAAGGTTTTCAAACTCATTTATTATTTTACTTTACATACATTTTGGAAACAAACATTGGTCTCGAGTGAAGGCTACTTTTATGCTAGTAGAAAATATAGGATTTTCTAAACAATCACAAAAAAGATAAAACATTTCATTTCATTTAAACATTTCATTTAAATACTTATGAAATTCACCAGCTTAAATGCTGATCAACTCTTTCAAAATTACTTGTATGTCCCAGGGATTCAGTAAATTTCAGGTACTAGTATGCTTTTGAAGAAGAGATGCTGCGGCGCCAGTTTAATCTCATATTTTTGACATCATATTGTAATTGGTTTTGAACATGTAACTTTTGACAAATGTAAACTTTCAATTATATATATGATGGTTGTATTGCTTTCTTTACTATGTATTCATTTGTTACGCTACCACATGAAGTCATCCGCCCCCGAACGTTTCCGCCGTTCAGGTTTGGGGGTGTGACAGATTGGTATCAGAGCAATGTTTATAGTGAACTAAGTATATCGAACCACATAAGATATACAAACTATAAATGCTTAAGGGACTAATACTCTCTAACAAAACAAATTTCTTTTTACACTTAAACATCATTTCGTTCAACTTAAATTAATAGTTCATTTAAGTACAATTACATGCATACCACAAACTATTTTCATATTGTACAATTTTACAAGTATATAGGCAAATTGACACGCACGAATCGAGAAATTATCGTAGTAAGCAACAAGTCAAACCGTACCAAACCATTACAAAAATCAAACACAAGAATTTAAATACTATAGGAGTATTTGCTATCTAAACTAGTTTAACTTACATGTTTTACATGTTCCGACTTTATTCAATTCTTATAACCTAAATTCTCGTATAGTCAAATGGCTGGATTTCACCACCCTGGCGACCCCTACTTTCCCAACCAAGGTAATGGAGGATGGATCGAAGATGATCCCGAAGAGGACGAGGAACCCATAGACGTGGGTGATGACTCCGGTACCGACTCAGAGCCGGAAGTTATCGATCCACCACCCATTCAACCTCCCGTCTTCGTAAGGAACTTTCAAGGACCACTCCCGTCTGGGGAAGTCACCTCCACCATTGGAGCAACAGCAAAACCTACGCCCTCCCTACGGCATGTGCCGGGACTTCTATGATGTCCGCGGCGGAGGTTCGGCTGATCGAGCACTCCCGGTAATGGTGGGTAAGTTAGCCAATCAGTCCTATCAGTCTGGAGTACAAGCTAGTCGACTCCGGGATATCAACGTAGAAGTGCAGGTTCACACTTCTGACATCCGTAAGTTGAACAAGAGGCAAGACAACGCTCAGTTCCAAACCGAAGCGTTTCAAGCGCAAATTATTGCAGCCCTCGCCGAACTAAGGGAACAACAAGCCGCTTTGGATAGGCGTCTAATGGAGTCAAAGCAATCAGATACGGAGTCAAGCTCCAAACGCAACTTTCGACGCAAGTAGTGCTTGTCAAAAACTCAAAATTTTGTTATAGCTTAGGACCTCGGCTAAAAGTCTTTAAATTTCTTAAACTTAGTAAACGGAGATCCTTATAGAGGACAAATTTTCTTGATCGTTGTAACAACTTTTATATTAATATAAGTGGCACTATTATTACTATGTTGAGTATTTCGTTCGAACCTTGAATGGTCCTTGGGAACCCAAATACTTGTTTCATACCTTCAGTCTTACAAATAACTTTCATTCTTCTATTTCAAGACTCATACTATCTTTTGTTGTTGAATTATAGCGATTAATTCATGAGACACATACATTTTCCATTTCATGAAATTCTTATCATTGTTTTCTTTCCATCTATAGTTGAAGGATGCCTCCG